TACCAACTGCAATAGGCTGAAGTTAGTTGTAACTGGCTATGCTTAGGCGTATTAGCACTTCGGATTTTAGCTTTAACAAACATACAAACACTCACGAATGTGATGATTGATGGTTGGATCTCACTCGAAATCGCTACTTTTGGTGTTCAAAATTTTAGCAGGGCGTGTGGAACTAAGTCTACTATAATTATTTTTTTCCAAAAATAGCTACAAATCGATAGGTTCACTAAAATTCCATAAATTCATTTGAAATTAATCGATCTCAACAAGACAAGAACTCAATAGCGAATACTTTACGACGTTAAATACTGCAAATCTTTGTTCGCGGCCGCTGTCTGCTAGCTAATAACAATAAAACTCTCATAAACAAAACGTATGCGAGGTCAAAACAGTATACCAGAGTAGCAGTGAATGAACCATTTTAAAGGTCCTGCCAATATATTTTCAAAATTATTTATTTGCAAATATTTATTTAGATACTTGAAATATTTGATACTTGTTTCTTTCATTTTCTTTCCTAAAGTTGCGATTTTGAACTTTACCTCTTGAAAATAGATTTTCATTTAGAGCCTGTTGTAGACAAATTAGATGGGCAGTGAAATCGAGTGTAAACAAAAAGTAAAGTCGTTATGTTGCCCCACCGCTTAACGCATTCAATGCGAATCTTATGCTGAACCCATGTAATAATATCTGGTTACCAAGGTAATGGTTGAATTTATTTAAGTGACAAAATATAAATTCAATACAATAATACAAAAAATGTGTGCTCGTTTGTCACCCTTATTCTATAAAAAAAAACATTCTGGAGTCAGTGCTAGACATAGGGTATAGGAGAATTAAATCCCCTAATTCATAATGTGAAATTATTTTATAGTTTTTAGTTTTTGAAAACGGCTTTTACTACATCCATCCATTACAGCCTGTAAAATTCCACTACCGAACATAGTCCTCCCTCATAGATTGCCTTATGGGGCATACTACATATTAAAAGTTATTATTAATGGCGAGAGAGATCAAGATCGTACCAAATGGAAGTACGTAGTATCTGCCTTCGCCTCTGGGTGACATGCGTGGGTATTTATGCTATGTCATGTTCCGGTAATTATGTTTACCCTTTCGAGTAGACTAAGGAAATTACGAAGTCCTCTATCGAATCGTAGAGCTATCGAATCCATTTTTAAGCCGGTCAAAATTTGTTTTGACAATTTTCTTCTAATACATGGTTTTATTTAATTTTTAACTTTCACGACAAGATCAGTCAACATAATTCCAACTAATAATGAGATCACGAAGTTATTTTTCTGTCCAGTTTCAACATGCATTCCTTTACTCAAAAGTGCATGCCCCACAAGCATTTTATTTATTTTTGATGAAAAAAATAAATTACCAAAATAAGTCACACAAAGTATAAAAGCGATATAGGCTGCATGGTACATTTGTCCTTTGTCAATCAAGAGCTCAAAAAGAAAATGAAAGCGCATTTAAACTTTTAATAGCAATAAAATTTATAAAACCTAAAAATATTTTTATTAACAAACGACGCATACTAGGCTATTGATATAAAATAGGGAACCAGTTGACCTAATTCTGAAGTTACTAAAACAACGTCAATCGTTTCGGGAGTTAACGTGACTATATAGAAAATCAACATCCGGACGTCCACATAATTGTTTTTTTTTTCAAATTGTTTTTATCAAAGTAGCAAAATAAAATGATTTTGTAGAAAGTATAAGATGAATTAATTAGTGTTTTCTTGATATACGGGTACTCATATTATCTTATAAGTGCAATATGGTTATGATAGACGCATTTTAAGAACACAAAATTGCTTGACCTTGATGTTTCGAGAGTAATACACTGCCTAATAACGCTTCGCGTTATGAGGCGTGCAATAAGTTTTCACGTTTAGAGTTGACAGCCACCGTTTTTTTAAATTATTTTGAGCTATTTTCAGGAAGATAACAACTGCTGGCCATCTCCGGTTTCATTTCCCTCTGTCGTCTCTAACGACATTCACGGTATGATAATTCAAATGAAATTATTTTGATAAATTTGACTGAATTTAATCCTTTTACGCTGCCACTGCACGACGTAAACATCAACATCAATGTGCATACCAAAAAGTAAACAATCTTTAACTAAATCATCAAAAGTAAAAAAAAAGTAGGCGGATAGTGAACATTTAAGATAGTGAACGTTGATATGAAACAAAACAACGTTCATAGTACGTTATAAAGCATTAATAGGTCTGCGCGATCCATATTTGTGATATTTCTTTTTTAAATTTATATAAAAGGTTTTTATATAAAAAGAAACATACTGCAGCAGGCATGAGACGGCTCTACTGGGGAAGGACCACTCTCGGGAATTGGGTTGTTCTGGCAGTTCGTTATGTGACATAGTAGTAACATTAACGACGCTTCCGGTCTTTATTTATAGGATAGGGGTGACAAACGAGCACACAGACCACCTGATGGAAAGTGGTTGCGGCGACCATAGACATTCAGATCTGTCCTCGATTACGAATTAATTAATTTATTATCTATATAAAGCTTCTGTATATTGTGATCGCTACAAAGCTTTTTATAAAATAAAATCGTAAAAAATAAAAGTACGTAAACATTTCTCTATAAGAAATCTGTCTTGCTGTTTCTTGCCAAGATAGCGGTATTTTCTAAACCAGTATAAATAACTAAAAAAAAATCTAAATTGAATACGTGTCACATCCCGTAAGAAACAAGTACTTGTACGACCCAAAAATAATAGTTTGAGATCTGGACGTTTGTCAATTTATGTGTGTACATGCCTTCACGATACCGGAGGAAATTCTTGTGTGGCACTTGATAGAATAGGTACATACTGTACTAAGTAACATGTATAGTAAATGTGGCTTGTCCTATAAAAGTATAGGTTACTTGAAACATCAGTTCATCAGGACTAGTAAGAATAATCAACTAGCTGAGATGATGTTGGTTTGCATAATTAATGTATTTTAGTATTATTTTTTTATCATCATTATCAATTACAGCTTATAAAAGTTCACTACTGAATATAGGCTTCCCTATTGCTACATAAGGGGTATATTTGCCATAGTTGCTACGTTTGACATGCGAGTTGGCTTCCGCAGTATTATTTCTAGTTGTTATTAGAAAGATGCTACTGCCCATCCCCTGGTTTGTTTTCCTCTCTCGTCTCTTACGACACCCATGAGACTATATGGGGTTTCTGGATATCCTTACACCGTCCCTACATGGTACACTTACACTACACAGTACAGACTACTATGTTATCTTGTACTTACTTCTAATTGCTTACTGCGTTCCATGAATGTTTCATAGCGTAAAAATTGTTACTGAGAAATATTCCCTTTCATTTAAATACCTAACTTTAATAAGAATTTCTTACGCGCTCCATTTCTCTTTGGAATTAATAATATGGATTCCGTTTTTTTTTTAAAAAAGGCCGACACTCAAGCATTCATTCCACCTGATGGTAAGTGGATGCTGTGACCAACAGGAATCTACATGTATCCTCGATTAAGAACAAAAATGCACATGCGTTTGACACCCCTAACGACTAATATGGAATGCCTCGTTTCCAGTAAAAACGTCGCCGATGCTCTACACTCACCATACGAAACACAGCAGCATTAATCTGCTATTTTACGCTAGTATTCTGTGAGAAAGTAGACCCACCCCATTAGAGCCGACCCATTCGAGCCACAACTATAATATATAGCTGCAATTTGGCTTTACCATCTAAAAAGTTAAAATTTTAGTTATCTACCTGTTTTAAAAATAAATTCAACATAATAATATAACAAATGTCACTTTAAATAATTCTGTCGTCCCAACTAACGATCAGGTGAGACAGGTCAAATGGTTTTTAAAATAAGGGCCTACAATATTAATTAGGTCACCGCTCGACTACGCCCAATCTTTTAAATAAAACTAATTTTACGGATTTTATCGCGTATATTAACTTATTTTACTTTCCCGACGTTTCAAGTACTTTACAGCACCCATGGTCACGGGGGGGACTGAGGTGTATGTCGTCCCAATGTCATAGTTAACCACGGCTACCTCCAGATTAAAAATTATTAATTTTTGTTCCGATCTACGCAGTATGAACTTACAGTATCTAAAAATTATTAATTTTTGTTCCGATCTACGCAGTATGAACTTACAGTATCTAAAAATTATTAATTTTTGTTCCGATCTACGCAGTATGAACTTACAGTATCTAAAAATTATTAATTTTTGTTCCGATCTACGCAGTATGAACTTACAGTATCTAAAAATTATTAATTTTTGTTCCGATCTACGCAGTATGAACTTACAGTATCTAAAAATTATTAATTTTTGTTCCGATCTACGCAGTATGAACTTACAGTATCACATATAATAATTTTTAATCTGGAGGTAGCCGTGGTTAACTATGACATTGGGACGTCATACACCTCAGTCCCCCCCGTGACCATGGGTGCTGTAAAGTACTTGAAACGTCGGGAAAGTAAAATAAGTTAATATACGCGATAAAATCCGTAAAATTAGTTTTATTTAAATGTGTAGTGTTCGCGTAAATATAAGAAATCATTACGCCCAATCTATTTTTAATTGTTTAAATTATGTATTACTCCCACGCTGAATAAATGTTTACTCGAAAATATGAAAATTATGCAAATTTTACGTTAAATCTTACTAGCTTCAATCATTTTTTTTGTTTTTTTTAATGTTCATTAATTTATTAGTTCTTTGTTAAATTTCTAATTCCATTCGGTTGTACAGTGATTAAGGACAAACCCTTCCATAGTTAGCACCATTCACCATGGCGCCCAATTCATGATAACCTTTTTATGATCACGTTAATTATCGTTACTTAAACGCCACTACTGAGTGTGCTAAGAAATTCATCACAGAGCAGGATACTAGACTTGGCAACAAGATATAGAAAAATAATATTGTAAACATTATGTATTCTAAATATTTCTTTTATTTCAGGAGCAAAGTGGCAGCATTGCTATTAGACAAGCACCTGCAGATAAACGGAATATCGATGGGTGATGTGATGCGCGAACGCCAGAGCATACAAATGCAACCAATGGCAAGCAGCAAGATGAAGAGGGAGAGAAAAGCGGCGAGAACACTTGGGATTATAATGTCGGCTTTCCTGGCGTGTTGGCTACCATTTTTCTTGTGGTTTGTCATTTTATTCTAATTATTTAAACTTTGTCACACTTTCGTTCATAAAGTTTGTTTGTGCTAATAATAATATTTGGTTTGTGCTAATAATAATAATGTCGTCCAGACAGACTTTAGTTCATTCACCATCTAACACAGTCGAATTCTATTCCCTCACTTTAATAGTCCGATGGGACGGCAAACCCGACCGATGGCAAGACTACCGCAGGGAGATCATGCGCAGGATCAATTGATTTCCTGCTTCTCCTTATCAGCAGCCACGTGTACAAACACTAGATCAACGAGACTGTCTCTCTTGATCTCTCTTCGGTCGTGTCGGATAACCGTCTCATCGGACTATGAGAGTGAGGGAATAGAGAGTGCACCTGTGTTTGTGCACACAGTCGTGCACTATAATCTTGTCTGCTCAGATGGCTGGTCCTCGTTAAGACTGGCCGGCGTGACCAAACTTCGGTTAAGGCGACATTATTAAAAGGCCTAAAACATAAAGATACAATATAGTAAGGGATTATCTGTTATGCATGATACAATGAAGAATAGAATCAGGTAGAACCAAACGCCCTTCAAGTAAATTTAGTTCTGAACATCGATCGCTTTAGTGGAGTAGTGAATAAAATATATATTGAATATAATATGATCTTGAAACTTCATGGCTCACGGCCGAGTACAGACATAAAGTACTACATTGAATCAACTTTTATTTATCTATTTGGCACAGAGTGCTAACAAATAAATAATTATATATTAACTAGCTACACTACTCCAATGATATTCCGGACGTCTGTCTGAGAGAGATTAGAATGACCCTTCTGCACCTTAAAAACGGCAAAGCCCCAGGCGAGGATGGAATTACAGCAGAGCTTCTGACAGCTGGTGGAATACCGGTACTACACCGGAGGCATGGAGCAGAAGTGCGGTGGTCTTGTTCTACAAGAAAGGTGAAAACGCTCTCTTGAAGAACTACAGACCGATTTCCCTTCTGAGCTGCATCAACGTGCTGTTTTCGAAAGTCTTTACGAATCGTCTTGCATGCAGACTCGATGACTTCCAGCCTCCCGAAGAAGCCGGTTTCCGAAAAGGCTTTAGCACCATAGATCACATACATACCCTTCGGCATATTGTACAGAAGCCAGAGGAGTACAATTTGCCACCATGTCTCGCGTAAGTGGACGTTGAGAAAGCCTTTGATTCCGACGAAATTTGAGCGGTGCTGCAGTCCCTTCAGCGGTGCCAAGTTGACTGTTGGTATATGGAAGTGCTGAAGTGCTTGTACAGTAGGGCTACGATAGCTATCCGAGTACAGATTCAAAGTATGACACCTATCCAACTGCAGAGAGGTGTAAGACGGGGTGATGTCCCCGATATCCCCGAAACTCTTCACCGCTGCATTTGAGGTGTTTTCAAGGTACTGAACTAAAAAGGATACGGTATTAACATCAACGCCGAGTACATAACTCACTTTCGTTTTGCCGACGATATAGTCGTTATGGTAGAATCGCTGGAGGACCTAAGCACTATACTCGATGATTTTAATAGTGCCTCCCAACGGATAGGTCTTAAGATGAACAACTTCGACCGAGAGGTCAATCGACAGATTCAACTCGACTGGGCCGCGTTCGGATCAAGATACATTTTCTCGTTAGGTCAAAACATGAAAACGAGATTGTACAACCAGTGCGTGTTGCCAGTGATGGTTTATGGATCTGAGATCTAGTACTTCACTGCTGGCCGTATGACGAAGCTCAAGGTCGCTCAGCGAGCTATGGAGAGAGCTATGCTCGGGGTTTCTCTGCGTTATATTTTTAGAAATGAGGATATCCGCAGTAGAACCAGAGTGACCGACATAGCCCAACGGATTAGTAAGCTAAAGTGGCAATGGGCCGGCCATATAGCTCGAAGAACCCACAACCGATGGGGAAGAAAGGTTCTCAAGTGGCAGCCTCGTACCGGCGGACGAAGTGTAGGGCGTCCCCCCACTAGATGGAGTGACGACCTGGTAAGATATGCAGGAAATCGATGGATGCAGGTGGCTCAGGACCGTGCTTTATGGCATTCCTTGGGGGATGCCTATGTTCAGCAGTGGACTTGTGAAAAGCTGTAATGATGATGATGATGATGATGGCGACCTGCCTCGATTTCGCCTGGGTGGGATTTTATAATGTGGCGTCATTTAGGTTTAGTATAATTATCAAGTATCGATTTATCGTTTTTTTTTAAAATAATAAGTTGTTCGTGTCTTAATAGCAAATAAATAACCCCTCAAGGCAATAAAAGGCATTACTTCGATATTACAGGCAGACACTTAAGTTTTATTTATATGTATGAATGAAAAGTATTTGGTACACTTTCCATCGAGTAGTTTTCACACACAATAAAGAAAACTGCCCTATATAATAAAAACAATTACCAAAGAATAAAGAATATTCAACTGTTTTGAAAGCAACTATTTTTTCAGGTACATTATCACAGCACTCTGCGGGGACGCCTGCCCATCCCCCCCTCCGGTGGTCGCAGCTGTGTTCTGGGTGGGGTACTTTAACTCGGCACTCAATCCGCTAATTTACGCTTACTTCAACCGAGACTTTAGAGCCGCTTTTCGAAAGACTTTGGGCTCATGTTGCAGGTAAATATACTTTTAAAACTGTATACAGTGTCAAAGTTTAATGGAACGTCTATTTAAAGTTTCAGTAGAAGCGTGGGATGATATTGTGTAGTATTTTATTATTTGATGTAATATAATTAAAATCTTTATAAAGAATTTTTGATAACTAAAGTTAAAATGAACAAAGAATTAATTCTTTTCACCTTGGAAAATATGGCTTGTACTAGGATAGAGCTCTAAGGCCATTCAGTTAGATTCCACCTTCTTACTTTTTTGATTTGTGACGTCACGCTTTATTTTTTTTACTTCTTATAAGTCAGTGTTTAACTACAATCCCACCTGGGGGTATTGCACTCAATACTGGGTTCCGGTTTAAACAGAGAATAGAGAGCCCGCTAATGGTAGGAATCTTATTCTATCACGATATCTGTGTGGGTAGGTGGTACCTACATATTTCTAATGTCGGACAGCAGTGCGTGCGCTGCTGTTTTTTGGCCTTAATTGTATTAAGAATCTGTATATTTATAAGGCTGTGAGGCATTCTTTTGTTGATTTCAGATGTGCACGGGCAGTAGTTACGCATAGTGCAATCATACAATAATTATTTTAGTGATATTGATATTTTTACTGCCTAATATTTTTACGTGGTAGAACCATGCTGCAGCTATATTAGTAGTACAGTTGTAGCACGAATTGGTCGGCTCGACCGGGGAAGGACCACGTTCTAATAGAATATCAGCGTAAAATAGCAGCATAACGATGGCGTATTTCGTATGGTGAGTGTAGAGAACCGGAGACCCTTTTTTACTGGAAACGAGGCATTCCATCTTAGTCCTCACGGGTGACAATGCATCTGCATTTTGATTCGAAATCGAAGATATATGTAGATGTCTATGGGCCACAGCAACTACTTACCATCAGGTGGACTGTGTGCTCTTTTGTCACCCTTATTCTATGAAAAAAATATTAATTTGTACTTTAGTAATATATTAAAAATAAAGTATTACAAATTTAATTAGTGCAATATTGTTTTATACGGTTTAATAGTTATGTTTTTTTTTGTGACAGCAACTTTTTTCTCTTCAACTCGTTACTTATTGTTTATACTAATATGTGGTAGTATAGTATATATGTTGAATGTACACATATACTATACTCTTTTTTGATAAAATTTTATAAATAACTATGTTAATTTGTTTGTAAATATATGAAATAAAAAAAATATAAATTTGTTTTTGGCTTCGACCTCAGTGTCAAAACTTCTAAACAATTAGAAAACATTATATTATAATTTTATTCTTCACAATGTAGAAGACATCATAGTGGCACAAAATAGTCACTTACATGTAGGATTACTTTGTGTAAAAATATAGTAGATGGAAAAAATATCAAAAACATGTAGTAGATACGTTTCAATTTAATATTTTAATTTATAGGTAAAAAAAATTTGCTACATTAAACCTTAATAATCTCTATAAACTGTCTCACTTTATTAAAATATATTAGTTTCGTTTACTATATATATATATATATATATATATATATATATATATATATATTAAGGGTTGTAGTATAGACCGTGTAGTGGCGGTGTAAGAATATCCACTACCCCATATCACCCCGTGGGTGTCGTAAGAGGTGACAAAGGGAAACAGCCAAGACATGAGCTGCAGCGTCTTGCTAGTAACAAGTAATAACTACAAAACTACCGTTATAAATCCCTATGAGGCAATCCATGGGGGAGGTCTATGTTCAGCAGTGGTCTTTGATAGGTAATTTTTTATCATTATTTTTTTTTAAAGTTTTACCCACACTAGGATTTTCCCCTGTGTCGTGGAGGCAGTTTACAAACATAAATTGCACGAGGACAAACATCCAGACCCAGAACAATTATTTGTAGGCCATACAAATACTTGTTCCGTGCCGGATTCGAACCCGCGGCCCCCAACGCAACAACTCATTGCTAAGCCACTGCGCCACGGAGCCGTCAATATGGCTGTAACGGATAGTATTCCGTCCCTTGATTTAGTATAATATCTTGCTGTCGGTGGGCATTAAACCCATCTTGCTCGCTCGATACAGATTTCTCCAGGCAGTGGTCAGAAGTACACAACACGTAAGAAACCTGTGCGTCATGCTGTACTGTTTAGCAATTAATTTACAATAAAACACGGATTACGTATCAGACAGTTTAATCGTTCAATGCTGAGAATTCTTTCCCAACCCGATTATTTTATTATATTATCACATTTTAAAAACACCACACATACCTGTTTGTTTCGGTAGTCAGCAGAAAGTCCATGCAGTTGGCTGTGTATCCATCTACATCGAATACTCTATTCGCTAGCTTTACCAGCCGGGTAAGGCCTAGTAACAGGGCAAAAAGATGGGGCTTTAAAGCGACTTCTTGATCCCTTAACTATCACAATAAATAAATAAACAGTATACAATATACAAATTTAAAAGGTTGCAGCAAAGGAAAGACATTATAAGCAGTGTTGCCACAGCCAGCACAGTCCTTCAATCAGCATCTCACATTTTTTGGTCATTTTTCTATTATGAATAAAGGAACTAGGCAGTATTGGGTACGTTAACAATCGTGATGAATCAAAGATCGACTATTTTTTAATTTTTATTTTTTACACTAATGTCTAGCTGATTGGTATTCTAATCTAGGACCCAAAGTCTAGTCAGCCAAGTATTCTGACTGTGAGGCCACGCGATCGATCGGTTTTATATTAAACACATTTTCTAGATCCGATAGTTTAGACCCGCGCGGTAGTAGTCAGATACTTTGACCGTCAAACCTCGATTTTTTACTAAACAATTTCTTTAGCTCAAGAGCAAGACTTTTAAAATTGAAATGCGTATTAAGTTTCTGTTTCAATAGTTACGCATTTTTTTTTATTTCATTGTTAAAGAAAAACAATATCTTTTACATCATTTACAATAAACATTAATTCATTATAACGGACGTCTTCCTAATCATTTTCTCAGCGACTAGCGACAGACTTTACTCCTACGCTAGTGGTCATAACAAACTCGTCCTGTTTGTCTATTAGAATGACTGTCATATTTATATTTATTTAAAACCAACGTTTTTTATCTCAGCTTCCCCGTACATTTAACAGAACGCTAGCAATTTTTGTTAGATTGCACCAATGAAATTTTTAATATCAATTTTAAGTGCCGATAACCACGTGCACGGCGGTGATGGAAAATGTTTTGAGGAAACCTGCATATCTAGGGATCAAAATTGTTTTCAACAAATGTTAGTCTGCTAACACGCACTAAAGCAGTGTTCTCACAAATATTAGAGGAGGCCTGTATATAGGCCTGTTCCCAGCAGTAAGTGATATAAAGGCTGATATAACTCGGACTAAGTGAATGCTGTGGTCCATAGACATCCACATCTATCCTCGTTTAAAAATTAAAATTCAGATGGGTCGTCACCACTAAGAACTAAGATGAAATGCCTCGTATCCAATATAATGGGTCTCCGATTCTCTACACTCACCACACGAAAAACAGCAGAATTGTAATTTAAGGTTTTGGTTTAATATTATAAAAACCATAGATTATCGGTCACAACCTTTAATTATACAGGCTCTTTGTACCTTTCAAACTGGAACACAACAGTGATGTCACAGCTGCTCGATGGTTGAAATGGATAAGAGAGTAGAACCTATCCAAATTGACCCTTAGGCGGAAAAGCTAATTTCTCTGATAATGCACCCAAATCAACTTTAGATGTTACCGCAATCATTATATCGTATAATACAAAATGATATTATACGATATAAGGACAAGTACATCAGTGATCGTTCATACTATTTCAACGAACTTATAACGCATTTAGAAGAACAACACTTCGCCGATACGACGACATAAATTGTTTGTTATTTTCCTGCAAATAGCACAGGAGTGAGCTTGCATAAAATGAACCCGATAGCGATATTCATATTGTGTTTTAAAACTTCGATAAACCTTTAATCTATGTGCTCGTAACATGCAATAAATATTTTTTCCCGAAGTGACTGTTAACCCATTTGACATGAACATGTATAAATATGATATTTTGCCATAGCAGCCGTGTTGGAAGCCGCAGTTTTTTTTTCTTTTTTATTGTAATTGGGAAGACGCTGTTTCTTATCTACGACGATATGGGCTGATGGATATTCTTACACCGCCACTACATAACCAAATGCAACGTACATTCGAAAATAATTTAGTAACATTCTTATAAATGATTATGTAAGTTTTTCAATATATCACCAACGAACGAATAGTGACTTTCTAAGAAGTAAAACAATAAACAGTCATTTTCTGCCGACTTCCAAAAAGGAGACGGTACTCAATTCGACTGTATGTTTTTTATGTGTGTTACCTCAAAACTTTTTACTGGGTAACCGATTTCGATGATTCTTTTTTATTTGAAAGCTGATACTTCTCGTGTAGTCCTATATGAATTTGATCAAGGTCAGACCAATTGTTATTGAGTTATTCTTAATAACTCATATTGAAGTCGGCTGTACAAAATATTTAATTTTTAATTATTTATAAGTCCATTTTGTTACTAACTCCTGTACTAAAATTAGAAGCGACATCCCTCCTATGAGGCATTCTTTGCAAGAGGCCTCTGTTCAACTGCACTTTGATAGATTGTAACGGTAACGGTCATGCTTTTTATACGTTAAGTTGGTAATAAAGAAACCTTATATATTTTCTGCGATATTGGTTGAAAAGCGTATACATTGCCCTATGAATGAATAACTGACTCTGTGGAGTCGAGAAACTGGCATCACTAGCTTGTGTTCGTTCTTGATATTTACAGTTTGTTTGTGAAACTTTCTTAAATATACTGAGACGCCAAAGTTAATATAATTATTTCTTTAAATTGCTCTCTGAGAGACTCTCTCGGTTTTAGGTTATTAATAGTTCTTATGGCCCTCTTCTGCAAAAAAAAAAAAATAGTTTCTGAATCGTCGCATTTTCCCTTAGCATAATCCCATAAAACATTATGCCATATAATAAATAAAATGAACTAATCTAGCTGTCTCGACACTAGTGAGACTTCTCTTCATTTTTATAGCATAAGCTGCAGAGTTTAGTTTGCATGCTAGTTTAGATAAATGGGGGCCTCAATAAAGTTTTACGTCAAGAGTAATACCAATGAAATCAGTGGAATCAATTCAATTCAATTCAATTTATTTATCTCTTCACAACTTACTGGCTAGCTTACAATATCATTCGACAGGGCTCAGTTCTCCTCCATTTAATAACACAATAGTATTAAAATTCATTCAGTTATATACATTTAGTTTTATTGCCGTTTAAATGTAGATTGTTAACGTTAAACCAACACACTAATTTTGATATATCATTATTCAATTTGTCATATCGGATGCAATGACTATGGCTAAGATTTCCAACTTTATTTATTGAGACAAATATAGTATTTTCGAGGCCTTTTCATATTTGTAAAAATATTTATAACTTGATTATTTGAAGGAATATAGCATTTCAGACTTTATTATCAGCTTCACACCACAGTCAAGCCTTTATTAAAATGAATTTGATATGGTCGATTATATATTTCTTACAAATATAGTAATTTTGGCAAGCCTATCCACTACACAGGAATGCAAATTATTTACAGGGATTCATTTCCAAAACCCGCTGATATAAAGGCCGGCCGCATATTCATATTCTCATAGAATACCAGCGTAAAATAGCAGCTTAATGCTGCTGTGTTTCGTATGGTGAGTGTAGAGAACCGGAGACTCATTTTACTGGAAAAGAGGCAGTCCATCTTAGTCCTCACGGGTGACAACGCATCTGCATCTTGAGTCTTTATTGAGGATAGATGAAGATGTCTATGGGCCACAGCAACCACTTACCATCAGGTAGACTGTGTGCTCGTTTGTAACTCTTATTCTATAAAAAAAAATTATAATAATGTTCTCTCAGAAAAATCCTAACGCGTGCCGAAAGCCACTCTTCGCATACATTTTGTACTAGACCCTGCATACTGCAAGAAATTTGCCTGACCAACCGTCTCCGAAGCTCGCCGGACGCATGCCAAGCGGGCGTTAGAAAGTCAAAACGTAAGAAGACGCGATCTCCATACATTTTTTTTTTTATAGGTGAGGGGGCAAACGAGCATGCGGCTCACCTGATGGTAAGTGACTACCGCCGCCCATGAACAACCGTAACATTTTATACTAGACACCGCACACCATCAGAAGTTCCGAGAGTGTACACCTGAGTGATGTGCACGTAATTAATGCGACTGACAAAAATTACTGAATACGGAGATGGAAAATGTAGAATATTGGTGATAAATAGGATTAATAGTTTTGCCTTAGAGTCTGTCTGGATAGGTACCGATTACTGCCGCCGAACAACAGTACTTGTGCTGCGTTGTCTGGAAGAGATTGCTACGTAGACCGGCCTTTGTATTTCCCTCAATAGTTGTTTATTTTTTCTTTTTGATATTTTTATCTTTTATTGGTGTACAATAAAGAGTATTGTATTGTATTGTGCTTATAGTGATGTGTTTCGCTCTGAAGGGTATGGAGAGGCAATATTAGTACAGACTATAAGGCATTCCCTCTTAGTCCTCGGAAGTAACATCGCATCTATAGCTTTCTTTAAATTTGGCTGCAGTTGTCCATGGACTGCAACAGCCCCATCCCATCAGGTAGATTGTAAGTTCATTTATAGGTTCAGTTTGATAAGAAAATCGCTGGAACGAAATTTCTGATAGTGTAGAAGTATGTGGATCGTCGGTGGGCGTGCGTTGCGTTAATAATTTTCTGAGAGAAAATTTCTTGCAGTGTATGGCAACCACATGCCTAATAAGCCATATATTGTTGATAACTTACAAAAGATCTTTGTAACCTAGGTCGCTCTGTGGAGATGTCGGACGCCGCTATTGCTGCCCGCAACAGTTTTTAAGAAGGGAGCACCACCACTCTAACGTATCCTCCGACATTCACATGAACAATTGCGTGAAATCTACGTCAGCTGATGTTCTCAGGGCTGTCCAAGCTTGCAGCTCAAAAGCTGAGGACGTGGTGGTTTTTAATACTTAAACACAAAGGACTCAAGGTTTAAATTCGTGTGTACATGTTAAATAAAGTTAAGGTTGTGAAGATTTTTCAGTATATTCATTGTTTAGAAGTAGTGTAATATACAAAAATGCTTAATTATAATATGTCACTTTAATTTAGCGCCGTGGTAAGTACCTACATATTTAAAAATATTTTGCGCTGTATACTGTCAAGGGTTATTTTAAAATATGAATAAAAGATTTAAAAACTTGAATACATGATGTTTTAATAATTGATAATATAGGCAGACAGAAATATGTAATAAACTTATTAATATATTAGAGTATAAGTATTGAGCATATATATAATATGTTAATTCAGTATTATTAATACGTTAAATGTTAGCATTTTAAATTAAATGTTATCATTTTAAATTAAAATATAATATTTGTAATACGACGTAGTACAAACTTTATATTAGGTTAGGTTCAAATCTGTATGTTGAATGTGCAGTGTAAACTGATGTCCCTAACCTCATAAGATTATCTATGTATATAAATTAGATGTAGATATGGAAAAGAAACATGTAATATCCTTTTTATTAAGAAATAATATGGAACCTATAATAATAAAACAATTTAACATATCAATAGTTAAAATCCCTCACTGAAAATTAATAATATTTACCTCTATTTTTATTTTTTCAAATAATAATGTATAATTGTCTGTTACGAATTCCACAGACATGAATTAAAATTTTATTGCAGTAGAATATTCAAGCTCATTCGATAAGTGGAATTCTTAATAGAGTATTAATGACGCAGCTGCCTCTATATTTGACCTTAGACAATGAAGTGAATGATTAATGACGCTGAAAATTATTGAACATTCTATGAATTGTTTCCCTAATTACAATTTTAAAGTAGAAGAAAATGGATACGAGGATATTGGAGGGGACTCAGAATTTCTTTTTTAATTTCTTTTAACAATTAATATTTTAATGACGTGGCCAGGAAGATTTTTATGTAAACACACATAAAACTTTTGTTAATATTTAAATTAATAAACGCCTTCAACACAGTCGATCTTGATATACTTCTAGCTGTGCTCCGTTCTATTAACGTATCTCCAGCGGCAACCGACTGGTTTCGTAGTTACTTGTTTGGACGCCGTCAATGCATCCGTATTGAAGACACTTATTCCTCGTGGTGTTCTCTGGATGCAGGCGTTCCACAAGGTGGCGTGTTGTCTCCTCTCCTCTTTTCAATTTTCATACGCTCCATCACTTCAGGAATAACTTCTCTCTACCATCTTTATGCAGACGATCTCCAAATATATTCTCAAACAAGTGTCAATAATCTTCCATCTGCCGTGCTAACCACAAATCGTTATCTAGCTATTATTTCAGAATTTTGCACATCTTATGGAATTAAGGTTAACCCTAGTAAAACGCAGGTAATAGTGATAGGTAGCAACAAAAAACTACAAAAAATTACTTGGCATACGCTGCCTTTCGTTTGTTTTGAGAATTCTCCTATTCCTTACAGTAAGGTTGTAAAAAATCTAGGGGTTTTAATTGACAGTACAATGTCTTGGGCACCACAAATTGAACAGATAAGTAAGAAAATGTTTGCAGCTTGTGGGAGTCTCCAAAGACTTCGAAATTTCTTGCCCATTTCTACCAAAATTGCGTGAACACATTCCATTTTGTTGCCTATTTTAGACTATGCTGATGTATGCTACACTGATATTACCATGGAGCAATTACACAAGCTTGAGCGTCTTCAAAATCTTTCCATTCGGTTCATATTTGGTTTACGCAAATATGACCATGTATCCCAATTTCGAAATCAACTCAAGTGGCTCCCAATTCACCTTCGCCGGAATGTTCATTTACTATTCTTTACTTTTTTGTGTTCTGTTTGATCTGAAATCTCCAAGGCACCTTAAGGAACAATTTCACTATCGACATGAATTTCATGATCGCAGTTTGCGTTCAGTGTATAGCTTGGCTTTGAATACTCCTTGCAGCGTAACTTCTTTTTATAATAAGTCATTTACTTCACAAGCAACCCGACTCTGGAATTCATTACCACTTAACATCCAGCAAGCGCAATCTTTACAGGCTTTTAAAAACAATTAAAGAAGTATTTGTTGAATTTCCCGTCATAATAATAAATTATATATATTTCCTCTTTTTATTAATACTTGGCTTTTTTTTCTTTTTGTTTAATTTACTTTGCACATATATGTATATGTATGTGTATGTATGTATTTATACATATATATACATATCTATATATATATATATATATATATATATATATATATGTTTATTAAATATTATATTATTATATAATTCATATATTTATATAAATCTTATTTAGTTATAACTTTTTGTCCTCAGTTTTATTTTATATTGCACGTTGCACCTATCCGTCAAAATTTATTACATTGTTCCTTTTACGTTCGGTTTGTCAGGTAGAAATCGCTTAAAGCGATATAACCACCGTTTGTAGTTCTTAAGTTTTCCGTAATTGTAACCACTTTGGATAAATGCAATAAAGAGTTTATTTAATAAATCGAATACTATAGTTTTAAAACATGTAAGAAATGTGTGATAAAGCTCTTTTTCCACCCATTTCTAACATTTAAAATCTATAACCCAGGGATTAAGAAATGGTTTCACTTTTCGTTACGGTTCAGATTCTTTTTCTGGTTTAGGTATCAGTTTTAATATACCAAGTCAAAAATACGTATGTTTCAGATTCCAAATCAAAGAGCAAATCTTGAATTGGGTGGTAGTTTAGCTTTATTTTTATAATAGGTACTTCTAAGAATTGTAACATAGGATAAAAAATAATACTGCATGATGTCGTTTTTATCGAACATATAATTTTATCACTCACGCCAAAATCAAGCGAATATGATTCGCTCGTTTACCGGAAAAAAGGTGCAAAATGGTTCTCATTCAAGTTTAAATTTCGATTCTGGTTTTTACATAATATGTTACAGTACAAACCCGCTAAATACCGGTTCCTTATCGGCGTTTTTGAAATCTTTTTAATCCTTGGCGTTGCCTACATCGATCACTAATAAAAACCTACATACACTATCTGATGCAAAAGTTCTCTAAAAACAGTCTCCAATTGTTTTGACGTAATTCTAGTTGAAATAAAAATACATTAATGTAAATTCAACCTTAAATTCATTGCCTAAAGTTGTAGACACAAAGTTATGTACAAATTAAAGGCGCAGGTTCCCAAAAGTTCGAGTGGGCGCTCATTCGGTAAGGACATTTTTGTCACTGATTGTGCATCAAGTTTTTTTATTAGTGATCGATGGTTACCTATTTCAGACGCTAAGCAGGAGCATTATTTCCATTGTCATGACCACTCATGGTTTAAATTAAAAAAAAGAGTAGTTAAAGTCTACACAATTACCTTACATACAAAACTTTCAATTATGTTTAATTATGATTAAAGCGATTATATTTATTTAAAAATAAGTAAATAACTAAAGTGCAATTAAAAGAAAAAAAAATTCAAGGAGTCATAAATATTTTTTAAGCTTATTAAATATTATTTTTCTGTACGTAACTATAAATATTAAGTTTTAAATTAATATTTATAATAATTATAAATATTTAATTTTAAACAATTTATATTTTCATAATGTCCCAAAATTGTTTAATCTAATTACACATTATTATTACTAAGAATAAGGAACACGACTGTAGTGATGTAATTAAAGAAAAAGTAAATTTCATATACATATATGTATAATTTATATTTTGAAATGTAATTATTAATACCTTTCATGTGATACCATATACATACGTATGCTTATTGTTATTTTTAGGAAGTAAGTTTTTGACAGTCCATATACTTCTATTTATTTTATAACGACGTCATATTTAGAATTTCTGTCACCCGCGCAAATAAGACAAAGTCAATTGAGTTACTTGTCGAAATAACCAAGAACCAGTTTATGAGTCATTGGTGGAATATAGAAAAGAAAATACATTACACACGTGACAACATTACTAAACAAAAATTGATTCTTCTTTTGAGCTCCGTCGCAATTGGATTATTCTATCACTCTCTTTCACAATTAATGCCAATATTTCATACAAGTAGTATGAAATATTGGAATTAATTATATTTTATAATATTTTAAATTCATATAACAATTATGTTTTACTTATTATTAATTAAACAGCTCTCTGTAAATATTTCAATAAATTAAAACATATTCATATTTATTGCTACAAGTTTGTGTGCTTTACTTTCATTAAATTATTGTAAATAAGATTTTGTATTTAGTCTAAATACTCGTAGTATACTACGTCGTTACTCAGGCGCTAAGAACTAACTGTAAATTTCACAGAAAGCAAGCAACCAAGGTATCGTTTCCTGCCGGCACCAATGATATAGTTAATTGAAATTTTAAGTGCCAACACCACGTGCTCGGTGGTGAAGGTAAACATCGTGAGGAAACCTGCATGTTTGATAACTGTATAGACTAGGAAGACATGTGAATTCCGTCGAAACGCACTGAAGCAGCGCGGTGTAGTAATTGCTCCTTAACTTTGCCAGAAATAAGAGGAGGCCTGTGCCCAGCTGTGGGAAATATATTATAGTTATACATTTTTATTATACTACGTACATGTACCCATATTCATATGTTACATATCTCGATTAATCAATATAAGGTAATTGTGCCAAATTAATAAATTGTTGTGTAATAGAAGGGGTATTGTAAATAAATTTATACCAGTAATTTGTACAGATAGTATTATATTAGATAAAAGGTAAAAGCTGTATTTTAGAAAATGTTAACATTATTAAATTTACTCTTAATTGTGTACGACGGAGCACGAAATTGTTTCGTAACAAATTTTGCGTTCGCATCAATGTGTAATAATTAGTGAATGGGGGAATTAAATACGTTTTTAATGAACTAAAATATTATGTGTACTATATAAAATAGAGATAACTGTGTATACGCTTTTTATTTGAAGCCTAATTATTTTTATCCGT